GTCCCGTCCCTTCCCTTCCCATCCCACCCCTTCCTATCGCATCCCTTTCCAGCCTTCCCATCCCTTCCCTTCTCATTCCTTCTTATCCCTTCTCTTTCCATCCCATCCTATTCTTTCCGACCCCATTCCTTTCCAACCTTTCCCATCCCTTTCACCCTTTCCCTTCCCTTTTCACACCTTCCCATCCCCTCCCTTCCAAATTTTTCCTTCCCTTCCTATCCCAACCCTTTTCACACTTTCCCATCCCTTCTCTTTCCATCCCATCCTATCCTATCCTTTCCCATTCCCTCCCCTTTCCAACCATTCCCATCTTTTTTCCCTTCCCTTTTCATCCCTTCCCATCCCTTCCCTTCCAATTTTTTTCCTCCCCTTCCCATTCCTATTCTTCCCATCTCTTCCTATCCCAACCTTTTCACCCTTTCCCATCCCTTCTTATCCTTTCCCCTCCCATCCCCAACCTAGTCCCTGTCTCAGCCCAGTGCTGGGTCTGTCCATGTTGATCCTCGTCCAGTCTGTCCCAGCACTGATCCACTTCAGTTCCCATCCCTGTGCTAGTTCAATCCCTGTCTGTCCCAGTTCAGACCCTGCCCCAGCTCCAGTCCCATCCCATTTCAGCTGTGTCTAGTTCCCATCAAAGGGCTGGTCCATCCTGGTGCCAGTCCAGTCCTCACCCACCCTCTGTCCCCAGCCTGATCCCAGATCCATCCTGCTCCCATTCTGGTTCCCATCCCAGTGCTGGTCCAAACTGGTCCCCTCCCAGTCCCTGTCCTGATCCCACTGTTGTCCCTCTCTTGGTCCTGGTCCCATCCTGATCCAGTCTCACCCACATTGTGATGCTGTAGCAGCCCCTGCCCATCCCAGCATGATTCCAGCCCTGTCTCAGTCTACTCTAACACCGATCCCAGTCCTAGTCTATCCCAGCCCCATCTGGCCCCAGCCATTCCCAAACCCCATTTGCCGTCCCTTTAGGGGAGCACCGGGACACGGACCGGTGCTGCCGGGACCATGACCACTGTCAGCATGTCATCCACCCCTTCACCGCGCGCTACGGGTACCGCAACCTGCGCTGGCACACCATCAGCCACTGCGACTGCGACCGCAGGTGAGCGGCCCCAGCATCCCTCCATCCCAGGACAGGGGGAAAGGAGATTCCAGCCCCCTGGAATCCCCCCGCTCACCCCGGCTCTGCCTATGGCAGGTTGAAGGAGTGCCTGCGGCGGGTGAACGACACGGCCTCACGGGTGGTGGGTCAGGCCTTCTTCAACATCATCCAGGTGCCCTGCTTTGAGTTCACCTACAAGGAGGAGTGTGTGGAGCCCTACCTCTACGTCTGGTAAGTGCCCCCCTGCCATAGGGACCATCCCCCTGCTCAGCCCCACTGGGGTCACCTCGTTCTGTGTCTTCCCCTTGCAGGTGTAAGGCGTACAATACGGTGGCCATCGCGGTGCCCAGGGAGCCGGTGCTGTACGAGTTTGGTGGGGAGCTCATTGACCGGGCAGCGAGGCCTGGGGGGGTCCCTCTGAACCCCCCTTGGAGCAGCATCGACGGAGGAGCCATCCCAAGGGAGCATCATGTGCCTGCCCACCCACCCTCATCCCGCAAGGGAGCCAGGAAGGAGAGGAAGATGAAGAAGACAGACAAGAAGAAGGGGAAAGGTCTGA